CTTACCTATTTAGTGTGTTTTCCGGTATTTAGTGTTTTCCCGGTGTTTTCCGGTATTCAGGATAATATGGTGTTTTCCGGTAGTTTTTCGGTGTTTTCCGGTGTTTTTCGGTGTTTTCCGGTATATAGTATAGCCCATGTTATGAACAGTATTCTTGAGAATCGTGGTAATACCTGTGTAATTCACAAGATTATCAATAAACTTCTAAATAAAGACTATCAGATAAGACCCCCCCCCCCCCCAGTCAATCGGGAGTCGGAAGCTATGGTAAATGATTTTGTTAATTTTATAGCAAAGTTGATACTATACGACCAGATCTTGGAAATATTCCACACGTGAACTCCCAGGAAAACAACACTTACTTCTCAACAGTTAAAACAGTATCTGATCTAGATATAAGTAAGATCGATCATCAAAGCTTCATCATCAGCATCGTGCACTCTAGAACCCATTCCTACCTGGCTACTAAAACAGTGACGTGATGGTCCCGGCTATCACGAATATTGTGAATTCCTCTTTGGCTTCTGGGTGTATGTTGGAGGTTCTGAAAGGGGCGTTAGTGTTTCCGCTATACAGGAAGATCAGCATTTATAAAGAATTTATAACTTCTCTTTTATTTCAAAAGCTATTGAGAAAGCTGTTCCACCAGAATTTAAAAGACATTTGCATAATAATAATCTCAACGAAGTATTCCAATCTGCACACACAGCACCGAAACTGTCTTAGTGCATGTTCAAAATTACAGTTGTTATAAAGGGTTAGCTATCCAACTGCGGTGTTTTAAAGTATGGCGTGCCACAGGTTTAAGTTTTTGGGATCCTTTATTATTTACTACACACACATCATCTTCAGGAAATGTCATTCGTAAACACGGTCTTAACTACCATCTGTACGCCGACGGCACTTAAATTCTGGGTATAGTGACACGACTAAAATACTGGTAAACACTATGGTTACATCAAGACTCGACTACTGTAATTCATTTTTGTGCAATCTACACGAAAATAAGAACTACCTCAGAAATTTCAAAATAAAGCAACCCGGATAATAACTAAAACTAAACCAAATGAACATATGCCATCAATCTTAATTGATCTCCAGTCCGTCAACGCCTCAATTTTAAAATACTGTCTATACCATATTCTGCTCTGTATGACGACTTTTCACCTCAACACCTTAGATACCTTCTCAACACTAATAAATCTTCCAGGACCTTCGATCACAAGCAGACAACCTCTTATGCCAATTTTTTAAAAATAACTTTGTCGATAGACCATTTTCAGTCTGTGCTCCAAATTTATGGAATTCGATATCAAACGAAACCAAAAGCTCAATTCTATAAAAGTTTCTTAAAGATGCGTTCCCTGGGGATCGGTACTCGGTCTAGTCATCTATATACGACACCACTAAGTCGAATTGCAGCGACGTATAACAGCAGCCAACGCCAGTACGGTACGCCTATGATAATCAACTCTACACTGCATTTACTGTCAACGAATCTTCAGATACCATTAGATGAGCTTCGAAGCTGACCAACTTAACACAAACGGAATGATGACAAGAGTATAACATCATTGGCAGTCGTTAAGATCTAAGAATCTAAAATAAATCTATCTTGTCTTTCAAGAATTTTGGCGTTTGGCTTGATCAGAAGCTCAATATGATCCAACCAGAACTCAACTGCCCTCATCATCTTCATGATTCGTAGATTTCATCATATTACACCATTACTACATAAACCCTCATGCAATGAAGAACCGAATACTAAATTCTCCTATAAGCCTACAAATATTTCTACGACCTAGCCCCAAGTTACCTTTGTCAATTATTACATAAATATACACTATCATTCCAGAAATCCGAGATCTCAAAAACAGATACTATATAAACTTCCTCGTGTAAAGACATCAATATTTGACAAACCGTACTTTGCTTATAATATTAAATCAGCCAAAACGTACAGAATTACAAAACTTTCCAGTGTACTCACACACGCACATAACAGACTTTAGTTTGGAATGTTCCGCTGTATATAGCAATTCCCGATTTTCACTCCTTTTGCATGGAAGATTTTGCTGAATTTTGGTCTAAAATCGAAGAAGAGTTGTTGAATTTAGGTGTTGTGTCAGGTTTTGGTGCATAGTCATGATAAGGCGGACACAAATTAGGATTCCTTTGACCGGGCGTAGCAAAAATTTATCATTTCAATATGTTGGGATATAAAGAGGAAGATCATCGGCATATTAAAAAACATGTGAACTAGCGTGAATCCTAATATAAGAAGAAGCTACCCCAGGACCTAGAATTAGTTTTTAAGCTACAGGTAGGGTCCAGGAAGCGTAAATGCTGATTTTTGACTGGGGTATACCATGATCGTAATAACAGATACCACACTGTCCAGTCATACCTGTACTCGCCTATTTCATTCATGAAAGGCTACATCACCTTTTTAAAAGCAAAATAGTCGAGTTTGACCTAGTTTGTATCGAGTGGAGGTCAAACCCCATTTCCCCAACTCTCTTAAATTCCCAGGCTATAATGGACCACTTGACACCAACCCACTTTATGATGAACAAAATGTCTCAGACTTTAATGGACCTTTGAGACCCATCGCCCTTTTGGGTGAAAAAAACCCCCACACCCACACCCAAGTCGATATCCAATGATTTTCTTTCCAGTATCCCTCGGTCCGAAAGGTTTGGGAGAGTCGGCGAATTAATTGTTTAGCAAATTTGTGATTGTATTCAGCATTGTTCCTTGATTTATTGATTTTCTTGGACATTTCCATTAATATTTAGGCATTTACGTCAGTCAGCTTATCACATAAGTAAGGGTAAAGAGATACGTAGTAATAAATCACAACATGGTTGATTTCGTTAAATCCCATAGTGACGCCAAAGAAAATTCACCAAATGCTGTTACAAAGCTAACGGTTAAAATAACTCCATCTTTGCATTTGGATGAGTAATTTGTATATGAATTGCCACCCTCTCATCCGCATAGGTTCTACCTCGTCGACTGTTGGGTGATTCATCGAAAGATATACATATGTGTATGTATTCAGTTGTAATTGAAATTGGGTTAACGTTCGGCATCAACCGAGTTATTTAAAGTTATTCACTTGTAAATACAGCTTCTGGTGATCACTCCACTCAGCATCCAATCCGTATTCAAGCCGTAGATGAAGGGGGTGAGCGTATGCGCAAAATAAGCAGAGATAACCAATTCGATTTGTAGAATTTTTTTAACACGATAACGCTGATTCTAATTGAGTTGCCTTATATACAACAAGTTTAGTCGAAACTAATCCAGTGGTTTATTATAAGAAGTCTAAACTGTCTAATTCGGGGTGCCCGAACCACACCTTTATTATAACGCCGATGAACCTCATCCTGTACAAGCGCCATCCAAGATACATTGTATCTACCAATTTTGATTGTAAATCACCAAGCAGTTTGGGTGAACAAATCTGAATTCGCACCTTTAACGCAACATAACTGCAAAGTTTGGTTGACATTCTTCAAGCTGTTCAAGACATCAAGCCGAAAATTTAATAGATTAATGAACGACGAACTAGAAATCATTTAGACATTTGCTAGTTATCTTTGTAACTCTGAAACGTCTTTCATTGACTCGAAATACATATAAATATACATTGTGAATTTAAAATTTTATCCCAATGATATAGTTGCCACCCTAAAATTTCCTTTTATCACTCCAGGGACTACATATTTTGCTCCCTTATTACCAAACAATTATTAAATTATGAAATTATAAATCGTTCTTCAACTTTGGAAAATGAAAGACGCATATCGATTTTTGACGTAACCTTTATAATCCTTTTAATTTGAATTTGAACATGTTGTACAGTTTCGTAAAATGATAAATTCCGAGGTTTATACCCCTTGATAACAAATCTTTTTAGCACATTTACTGAATCGTTATGTAATAATAGTATACGTTTGCTTAACTTCGTAAAAGGAAGATTCCTGAAGATGTTTGACATGATAAAACCGCACCAGTTACATTATCTATTAATTTCATAGTTTTTGTATGTTCATTGTTTTATACAAAGTATATTAGTATATATTTCTTAAAGATACATTAGTTAAGAGTTTTATAAAGAGTTCGCCATTCTTACTATAATAATTCAAAACAGATGATAAAAAAGAAAATGTTGAAAATTTCAGTCAAATTACTTTGTTCTGAACGGAATTGTCACTGTTAGAAGTTTGGACAAACGATAACTCCACCCACATATTCTCGATTATCAAATAACATGCTCAATGGCTATGGTAGCCTCGCTTGGCAGGCTTTTCATCACCAATTTCCGGTTTTGACATCAGCGAGTAACGGTAAACGTTAGCTTGGTCCGCCATTTATTGATTTAATTTTAAATGGACGAGGCTGTTTAAATCCAAACTATTCAAGCCATCCGTGGGTCTACAGGGTTGATTTTAAGCTTGTCGTGTAAATAAAGGTCTAATTAATAATTTCTGTAACATCTGACGCCTAAATAAAGACTTGCATTAGGCAGATTTAGCTCTTGCAGTTTAAATGTTTTTCTTATTTACGTATTATTTTACGTAATACAGACTTAAAGCAGTATAAATTAATTGTAATGAGCCGGGTTAAGACAACTACTAAATCAAACGTATTTCGATACCGGCAGCCTATGTGTTACTTTCTTAATAAGGTGGCACTTTTCTTAATGAACTATATATTTGGATTATTAGAGGCACGTTATTATTGCTGTGGCATTTGTTTGGGACATCCCTTTAGAATAACTCGGGTCTTTATGGTCCCCCAATCGTAATAAATAAAAAACTTCCACCATTAAATCAAAATAACAATATAAAATGATCGATATATAACATTCTTTTTCCCGAACCGTGTGGTGTTCAATGTGTGAGCCAATGAAATTCTAGGCAACTTTAATAAGGAGTAACAGCTGTTATTACTGTTATAACAGTTTTCATCAATATCTCTACACAAACTAACTGTCTATTATCATTATATATTGTATATATGGGATATCTAATAATGTATTGTCACCTGTTGTTCAGTATGTTTTAATGTATTTCTATAAATAAGGTGTGTTTAGTAACCGGAAATATTTGGAAACCAGTCTGATTCCTACCAAGAGACATCCTAAGTAATGTTCAAAGGTGAAGTAAAGAGGGTATTTACAGGAATACGCCCTTCATAATGGGAATCAATAAGAGGAAAAATGACCCCACGGGTGACAAAGTTGCGGCAAGCGATTCCACCAAAGACAGCTCCGAATCTAAAGAAGAAGATGTGGTATCAGATGATGTTAATGCAAGACGAAAACGATTTCAGGCCAAAAGTTTCTCTAGAATGCGTCATGTGGTAATAGCCGTTGCCTGTATTGGCATGATGCTAATTAATGCAATGAGGACAAACATTGGATTCACGGTGTTGACAATTCTTGACGAGGAGGCTCATCGAAAAGTAGGCACTATCGAGGCCATTATGAGTGTAAGTAATTAAAATAAAAGGCGAACATAATATTAAAGATGTATTATCCCTTTCAAGAATAATATAACAGTCTGATTTTAGAGCACATTGATTATACGAGATAACACATTGTTGTGCTTTTATACATTGACCTATTGAAAACCCTAGCACTTAGACCAAAGCATTTGAGAGTGATTTGAGCGATATAGTATTATCTTGCCAACTACAATATTGTAAAAGTTGAATCTCTCAAGAATATCAGTCCTCAAGAATATCAGTTTAAGAGTGGTTCATTTTCGTTCAATATTTACATAGATATGATTAACTGAAATTTAATCGATCGATACTGCACCCTATGTAAATGGTAGACTTTAAATTTTCTGATCTTCTCTCTTCTTTTTCTTCACAAAATCTGTCGACAACACTGTTCTACATATCTTCGATGTTGAACTTTCCGTTATTTTGCAATCTACGGTAGGCTAATCGCCAGTTACAGGTCTTTATATTGTCGAATGACACCATGATATCATAACACATCCACCGCCATCTTTATGTGTCTTTGCATCTAATTAATGGGCCTGTTTTAAATCCGATTGAATCAAAGCCGGCAGATTATCTAGCGTTGATATTAGCGTTGATACTAGTGTGGATGATGCTATGTTAGAAATTGTACGAGCAACACAAATCACGCAATACATCTTAAAAAGTCTATTTAAAAATGTTTGAATATTGTTGCAACAGGTGACTTCGAATTGGCCATGCAAATTATTTCTTTTTAAAATTAAGTATGAGATCTGGTTTAGTGCACAAGGTTTCAGGGATGGGATAGGTTATGTAACTCTGTGTTAAATTGATGTGTGATGGGATTCCCCCTTAGGACTAGTCAAACAATCCCAGTAAGTAGAATTTTTACAAGGTTGTGGTGAGCAATATCAATTTGATTCCTCTTGAGGACTAGCGTACCAATTACAGCAAATCTGCTTTATCAAAATATGCTACTACAGAATCAAAATGCTGGTACAGAAGTTAAATAGTGTATCTTACACCATCATAATATTAACAACTACTCTAACGTAGTGTGTAAATGTGAATATTATCTAATAGTTCTCAGTGTTAAAAATAATAAGGTCCAATTCGGGTGGCAAATTTATAGAGTAACTTCAAAATGTAATGTTGTAGACTGATAAAACTATATTTGGAGGAGTGTTGGACTCAAAATTGGGAAATATTACGCCCATTCGGAGCAGTGTAATGACTCGCCCTTAGTGGTGTAAACTGGTACACCACATGCGGATGAGTGTGTCACTCAAAATAATGTTTTTTTTTACATTTAAATAGTTTAAACTCATGGGTGTAAATTAAGCATTTACACCTCAATTTTATAATTTACACTTCCATGTTAATTAGTAATCCCAAGCTGGTATATACAAATTTATTGAAAGCATTTTTGCATAGCAGTGTTGGGTTGGATATTTATTGAAAGCAAACAACTTGATATTTCATAAGTCTTGAAATTAACTATATAATATGCCTCTGTGAAAATAAGTATAGCCCGACTAACTAGCTTCATTTACAACTACCCACTAGACTGATTCAAATTTAATCTTCAGCAATTAAACAACCAGCAAAATTTATAATGAATAGAAACCTAAATGAAAAATCAATACACCCATCCTTACAACTTTAGTAGATGAATAATGTGGTTTATTCATTTATATGCACATCATCTGAATTTAGAATAAGTAAATAAGATATGGTACGCGATATTATTTTGAATAGGCTAAAAATAATTTATTCTTGGGGCGTTGAAATGATTAATTACGATTATGAAACATGATGTGACATATACTCTTCAAAAAAAGTAGGGGATATTCAGAAACAATACAAAACTGCGAAAAAATGCACTGCTGTTTTTATTAGAGGTAACCAGTGTATGTTAATAACAGGCCAATTACCTACATATGGGCGGCTTATCTGACGGCCCCATTTCACTCGCAAAGAGATACACCGTCAAAAGTGAAAATGGACGTTTTTGATTTTTGTCTTAATAATGAGTAATTCCTCCACCAATCCCCAGACATTCAGCAATTCGTCGTGGTATGCTCATAATCAACCGTCCAATCACGATTGAGGGCAATCTGACCCACTCCTCTTGCAGTGCCACGGCCAATTCTTGCAGTGTTGTCGGTTGACGCTGACGTCGACGAACACGTCTCCAGATCAAATTATAAGGTAACACACTAAAGCAAAGATACGCTGCACAGTAAATCTTATGCAAGAACCGATAGGAAAGCAAACATGGATAGATAAACCAGCACGCGGCAGTTTTCATCAACCCTTCCATGAAGTGTCAAATCTGACAATGAACCCCTCCCACGTGTATGGTGCTATTGCGTGTCGCGTGCGCAGCTCAGTGGTTCTGTTGGGGCGATAAGTTCTTCATCTGTGAACATACTCTCAAAGCATGTCAAATGTCCATGACTATTTATCATATCGCAACCTGCATAGGTATTTGCATTTCAATATCCCCTACTTTTTTGAAGAGTATATATTCTTTAAAATTAAAACGAACTAAAATAAGGGATACTTTTCCACAATTGTTGCTAAATGCCAAAAAGGTTTATTTTTAACTGTTTAGGGCAGGTTATCAGAAGCTATATGCCTCGTTGTAGTAATGAAATTCATTATATCTTTTAAAATAATATTTAAGTCATATTTTGCACAAAAAAAACCCCAACAAGTTGGAATAGACGCACACTTTTGCAGCGCAACATATGGTGTAAAGTTGGCACTGTATTAGGAATGTTTCCTTAATAATAATTATCCAACAAATTGGAGTACACACACACTCTTGCAGCACAACATACGGTGTAAAGTTAGCACTGTATTAGGAATGTTTCCTTAATAACAATTACCCCTTTGGTGTAAATGCATGCTCAATGCCAAAAATCAGCAATTTGCGACAATCTCGACAATTTATTGTTATTACTTGTCAAATCTTCAAACATTCATAACTACTTTTTTCAGAATAAAGTAATTTGACTGAAATTTTCAATATTTTTGAATTATTATAGCAAAAACGACCAGCTCTATCTCGTATACCGTGTCTCTAACAACTGTACATGTATATTGTTTACAGATGATATTTTGTAGATAATGGAATACAAATAACGTATAATATAATGGTACATGGGCTTTTTATTTCAGCTGCCAAACGTGGATTGGAATTCAAAGATGGTGGGATTTTTACATAGTAGTTTTTATATAGGGTACATATTGACCCACATGCCAGCTGGTTACCTAGCAACATATCTTCCTTCATACAGGTAAGAAAGTTTGTGATATATAAATGTCTTCATTAGTGAAAAAGAATAATCATATAGTAACATTTCGGGACCCAGTTCATATTTCAGTGGGGAGGGGATGGGGTAACTCTTTGGGTTGCCTAACTTGTGGTCCACAAGCTTAGTATAATATATATTTGTTCAGTTCAACATCAAGGGAAACCACCGTCGACTGCGTTTTATTTAGTGGTAATTGATTTAGAAAAGAACTAAAACTTCACTGCTATGTAATTTTATTACCAGAAAGAATCTCCGACGATCTACACCCCCCAAGAGCTTCAGGGCGGCTCTTGGCCCCTCGCCTAAAGTCATATCTGCAAGATAGACTTTCGGACGAAAACATAGTGTCACCCTCAAAAAACTAATCAACATATAATTATAATCTGATAAAATCGACCATTTTATTGGTGACAGACATAAAAGAGGGAATGTCTTTATTAGGTTGTACTGACCAGCTGCCAGAATACATGAACAGATTATACATATAATGATTAATTTACTTTGTTAGATCATGAAAATGTGATTTATCGAAGGAAGGAAACGCCCCTAAACAAACCGAGACACACCTACAATTGTTTGATCTATCATATCTAATTCAGTTATTAGTTCCAATAGCTGGAATAGATATGATAGATCAAAAAGCCATAAAGGTAGATCCAACAGGATGTTACTGGAACCTGTTATCTCGTTATTTTTACAAATTGTTTTAACGAGTATGTCAAGTCACGTGTTATTTTAACGTAAAGTATATACATGTAATTGAGATTATCACCCTAGCCTGTTAAAGGGGGCCAGTCGCCAACTCAACACGATGTTGTTATCTTACCGTGACAAGATGGGCTTGGGGTGATCGATCCCTTTTCATAAATTTGAAATAAAATATTGTTTACACCCCCCCCCCCAAAAAAAAGATGGGCTTCTGATATCCAATATTTAAGTCAAAATGAAAATTTTAATATTGGGACACGAATCGCGCACCAGACTGCTTTCTAGCGCCATTTCTAATGAAGCGACTTGATGATTGAGGCTTAACATACTCTACTGGAGAATACTACCGGTGTAGAATGGAATAATCAGATGCCAAAGACTGCCATTCAATATTTAAAAATTACAGTAGTAACAGAAACGATTGAATGTAGACTAGTTTATATACATTCAGATTACATTATTAATTGTGTCAATTTATGAGTGCCAAAGAATAGAGATTTAGCTCCTTTAATTATGTGAAATCAACAGATTAGAAATTACAGTAAGAACAGAAACGATTGAATATAAATCAGTTTATACATTCATAATACGTTATTATATGCGTTGCGACCCATTTGTGTCCATTTCTATGTACCAAGGAATAGCGATTTAGCGCCTTTAAAAATAATTGAAGAGCAAGCATAAATTAAAGTCTTAACAGATCAGACGCTATCAGAAGTACCTTTATCAAAACCTACTAATTAAAAGTACTTCCATTTGCAATTTACACTACTTTCTGCCATTTTTAAGGGTTTATGATAAATAAAGCCAATCGTGACAAATCGAAAATGATTGTTTAAATTTCATAAAATAAGCTTATCGTTGTGTTCGGTTGCTTGAAATTTATTGGTTTTTAGCCATTAACAACCCTTCCTTTGCAATGTAATATATAATTGATTAATGCCATATAACAAGCTAACATGAATATGATAACAAACTGACTGGAATGTTAGATATGTTTTTAAGTCGTACTTAACGTGTTTTCAAATTATGAATTCTATTTAGCAACTAGCTTGTAGACTCATCTGACAGACTGATAGCGTAAATAGAATGTCATCTAGATTTCAATCCCGGTTGTCGACTATAGAATATTTTAGGCGCAGTTTTCAGATTCTTGTTTACAGTTGTTTCCATAGGACAATTCCTTTCATTTTGGTGCATAAGTGACCATTCAAATCTGTTTTGGTGCCGTGTTGAAGAATAGTGCAACACAGTGCATACGGCTTATGAAAACAATGAAAGGATTAATATATAGCCGGGCAGTTGCAGATTTGGGCTTGCTTTTCAGTTTAGCCCTAAATTAACGGACGACGATACCACCAGTATTTCAACGGCCATTGTATTGTTCAAACTATATTTTCTTTAGAGTAGCCGAAAGAGCTTCTTACCAAATAGGTATTAAAATGTGAATCACCTATCTTGATTCTAGTATTTAACAGCCATTGGCTCGCATTTGGCACCAGCATTGTTGATATTGGGTATCTGTATGGATTTACCAGAGATAAGAAATACGGTGTGGCTACATATCCAAATAGATCATGTTGAAAGTGCTTGAATTGCGTTCTACGAAATTAGGGAATTTAGTTTTAGAAAGACATCCAATATCGCAAAGTGAGTAGAAGAACAATCTTGATGTTATAAAATGATTAAGAGAGTCTTACAGCTGAATAGAATATTGATTTTCTTATTATAATACCGTGTTCAAATTAATACATATATAGGCAATATGACGCCCTTAATGTTACCTCGGTCAATAAAAGTTTAAAATTATACACAACATGTGGTTTATAAATATCAGTTTACAATTAGTTGTAATTTTAGGAACATTGACTTTAAAGGAGCTAAATCGCTAATATTTTGGGCCTAGAAATTGGCACAAATAGGTCGCAACACATATAATAATGTAATATGAATTTATATAAACTGTTTTACATTCAATCGTTTCCGTTTTACTGTGTATTGTCATCAGTTATGTTCGGCGAAATACGCCAGAAGTCTCAACCGAAAGACAGTTTCTAGCGTCTGGTTATTCCAGTCAACACCGATAGTATATATTGCGCATGCTCTCCAAATAAGAATATGGCTTCACCGTTTGACATGACTTGTGGAATATGTCTAGCCTCATTCTTTGAGCACCTTGTTACAAATGGCGCTGAAACGCATTATGGTACACGATTCGTGTACCAATGGTAAAATGTTTATTTTGTCTCAAATATTGGATATCAGAAGCCCATCTTTTCCAGGTAAGACCACAACACCAATGCTGATTTAAATTGCAAAAAAATTCGTGTTTTCAATGTCGAAGATTTTGGATGATATTGAGTTACGGACTTAGCTGCTTTAAAAGTTATGCAATTTGGTCATGGTGACTAGTTCGGTTAATGGTATTGCCGGCTTATTAAAATAGCGTATGACTCTATTCTTTCGAACACACAACTTAACATGAATATTTAAAAAAAAGATTTATCGATATTGCATTGTATTTATTACTGACGTAATAGGCGTTAATTAAGCAACGGTGCTTATTTAACGCATTGCAAGGCGCGTGTTGTAATACTATAGTTTTTTTTAGTTCTATGAACGGTACTTGGTTTAATATATTGAAATGAAGTGGTTAAAGAAATATGGGACAACGAGAAAACTGGGCTAAGTATTTATTGTGCGAGATTCAACTTTCTTAGAACTAAAATAACCCCTATAGTATTACACCCGAACTTTTCGTTTTCTCATAAATCATTAAAGGTACGCTAAAGTCGTATTCCTTTCTTTCAAATTTTTATAATGTCCATATCAATACGCCAATATCGCAAATCCAGCCTCAAAATTGAAATTTTCCGTCATCTTCATAGTTTCTCTCCTCAAAACTTTCTGGGGGGAGAGCATCCTAGACCTTTCTCCGAAGGGGGTGCGTACATCGGCGCCCCAGAAGCCCTTGCCCCCACCCCCACCCCTAGCTACGGACCTGATAACACAATCTTTATACCTTTTCAGTAATGTCGCCACAGCTTAACTTCCAAGGCGTTCCTACGTCTTTGCTGTTGAACTCTTATATAAATCCAGTAATTGAGCAGTGTGTATCATTCCAAAACATTATGCTAAAATGAAGTCCAATACAGTCAACTTCAGAAATGTTTTACGGAAGACCATTAGGGCCAATGAAATGAAAAAAAAAATATTCCGAGTATCCTGTAATTACAAGATAGCTATCTTGTAATTACAAGATAACAATTTGGTATAACTATCTTATAATTACAAAATAGCTACAAGAAAATTATCTTGTAATTACAATAAAGTTTTCTTGTAACTATATTGTAATTACAAGAAAAGGAGAAGCCCGTGTTCTAATTAGTTTATTTCAAGGTCGCCCTACACTAAGTAATCGGATAGCTAGGCCAATACAGTCAACTTCAGAAATGTTTTACGGAAGACCATTAGGGCCAATGAAATGAAAAAAAAATATTCCGAGTATCCTGTAATTACAAGATAGCTATCTTGTAATTACAAGATAACAATTTGGTATAACTATCTTATAATTACAAAATAGCTACAAGAAAATTATCTTGTAATTACAATAAAGTTTTCTTGTAACTATATTGTAATTACAAGAAAAGGAGAAGCCCGTGTTCTAATTAGTTTATTTCAGGGTCGCCCTACACTAAGTAATCGGATAGCTAGGCCAACGAAATACTTTTTTATGTTACAGGATCGGCCCACTCAGGTCATGCTCCCATTATTATCATTAGTTATTTCGTGCCTTCATTAAAAAACATTCATTAAGTTCATACTCTGATTAACTTCATAGTCCCACAAACTTCATACCCTCACTGATATCAATTATTATTAATACATTGATTTCATGCTCTCCTTAAAGATACTTTACCGTGTACAAACTGTGTGACTTGATGATATATTTGGACTAAAAACATATTCATACTAACTAATCTATCAAATATTTGCATCAAATCTCTCTTAAAACTTTGTATTCGTTGGGAGATACCGCAAGCTATAAAAAAACTGTTGTTAGACGATATGTCAGTCATCTCATTTCATTGAGTGAGGGTTCATTTTTCAGAATGTATTTTTCGTTACTTACTGTCCATTTATCGTACATATTGAGACCTAAGTAAATTATTAATTATTTTCTGTCAACTACTTTTTCCGTTGACACCCCTCAATGTTCCCAAAACCGCGTAACTATTTGATCAAGAAATAACAACCGCTCCCCAGTCAAGCTAGCACACAATAAGCTGGTAGACAACAGTCGGGTTACCCTGACATTTTTGCCCATTGCTTGCCCCGTTGGTGGTTTTCGGGTAATCCAGTATTTTTGAAGTAAGATTGGGTGTCTATACTTTCCATATATACGACATTTGCCATACTTTTATACGAAATAACCACCCGATAAATACTTTCGGCACAACGTATCTTTAAAACCACGGAATGTCATTTACATTTTTCAGAAAATTTTGAAAAAACCTGAATATACACCAAAATCAAGATAATTTGCATACTTGGATTCAATCGAATTAAATAGAGGCACATCAAAGAGGTTCAGCGAAACGTAAAGATGACAACGGCTTGTTTAAAAGGGATATAGACGAAACGGCGCTAATCCAAAACGACCAAAACTTATATGACTGTGTAAAGTTAAAACGTGATCAAAATTTACCTAAATATAATTATGTCAGTGGGTTCTTATTAAAGTCTATATGGCTCTATCCTTTGGAACCTTGAAATATATATATAAAAAAAAATATATCTAAAAGCACATATTAATGTAATATGAATATATGTAAAGTGATTAATATTCAATTTTTGGAAAAAAAAAAAAATAAATAATATTGTAATTTCTAATCAATTATGTTCGGTGAATTACGCGAACAGTTCAAATTGAACGGCAGTCGTTTACGCCTGCTTAGTGCATTCTACACGATTTTTAAATTATTATTTTGTCCTTTGTGAATAAGCCTTTACGAATTACTTCCACATTGTGTTGTAGGATATGTTTTATTTTTTCATTACAAAATGGCACCTGAAACCATAGGGTACACGACTCGTGTACTGATTATAAACTGTTAATTGTGTCTTAAATATTGGCTATTAGGATCCTCTAGTTTCACAGCAAGATAACAACACCAATATTGAATTCGAATTCGTGTTTTTAATTTAAAATATTATGGAAAATATTGAGTAAGAGACTTAGCTCATTTAAACATATATTTTGCAAGAACTAATTCTGCCTATTGCAGGTCTTTCTTTCGGTCTTAAATGTTATATAAACTGTTAATTAGACATTTATTAACATGACAAGATTTGAATCATATCTGTTGTTTAACGGTCGTTGATGATTAACAATAAAAATGGTTTTTGTTTTCGTTCGTTAATTTCTGCAGACAATAAAAATTGTGTAAAGTCAAAATAAAGGGGGGAAAAAACAGCGAAAATCAAAATTTAAAGAAGTTTTCCGAAAAATATAAATAGCGTTACGTGGCTTCAAGGCGAGCTTTAAAGTTGATGAATCGTGATATTAATATGAAGTTGATGGGAGTATGCAGTTAATGAGAGTATGAACTTTATGATTTTAATGGAGGCATGAAAATAACGGGTTTATGAGTAACTTATTTTAAGGTCGCCATACACCGATTTAAGGCGAACAGCTAGGCCAACTTCGTACTTTATTTTAAGTTACAGAATCGGCACATTCATGTCATGCTCCCATAAATAGCATTCGTAAAATAAGTTACTCATGGGCTTCTGCGTATCATGTAATTACAAGATAGGCTATCTTACGCTATCTTGTAATTACAAGATAATCGGAATTTTTTTTTTTTTTTTTCATTTGAATGAAACTAATGGGCTTCGTACTTTGCCCCTACATTTTGTTCTGTGGTATAATTTTTGATATACCATAACGTGTTTGTGCCTGAAACGCCATTTCTTTATTTAGAAATCGATTAATATTAATATTATTATTTTTTTTATCATTTATGTGTATATCTGTATTATTTTATTGTTAAAATAGTTTCAGAAACAGCTGTAACATTTGCATAATGAAAAGTCACTTAGTGAAAAATTATTTTCTTCTGACTCCAAGATACAAACACAAAGTAATATTTTATAAATACTATGGCCTTATGAGCACTAAGATTAATACAGCTTCGACGTAATACTTGGTCAATTTTAATATGGAAGAAATAAAACATTTTATGGCCATGTCCCGAGCTCTAAAGACTTTTTAACCATTGTTATATCAAGATCGATTGTCAGCCAAGATCGCTTATCAACTAATTAAAACCAGAAAGATAAGTATTTTTTTTCTGGTCTCAAAAATTCAGAACTGTGTAGACCAATGAAAACATCGACCACATTTGCCATCTGAGACCATTTATTCAAGAATAATATCTCGCGGCTGGCAAAACACTTTTATTTGATTTGAGAAGTCCAGATAAGTAAACACAAATTGTTGTCCTTATTATGGGCAACGGGCGAGCCCTTCTTTAGATATATTATACACAGCAAACTTGTAATCTGTGTGAACTTCACAAATAAATGAGACGTGGTATCAGGTGCTCCAAATATAATAATCGTCTCGTTGCACGACACCTGTTACTACATGACAGATGTAAATTAAGCATGGTAATGATTCTAATATTTTGTTGATGATGAAATTAAATTAGGTAGATTGTTGACCATGTAATGCCGTCTTCATTAACCCTGTTAATGCAGGATGTTAAACCATAATATTTCATCACAATTGACATTAATTTTATTTATTGGTCGTTTCATTTAATTGCGTCTCGGTTTGTCACCAGTTATCGTTCGAAGTTATATAAATGTTATAGTATTGCGACTTATCTTGCACATGATCTTATTGATGATTGACAGCTGTCTACAAGTCTGTCTATCATAAATTGATATTGAATCCAATTAAGTGGCAGACATTTGAATTTGAATAAAAGTGAATAAGCAACATCCACTCATCCGTTTTTGAAAATATGTTTAAGTGTTTTATAAGAGTCACTAACACACGAGTGTAAGCAAGGGGCGATGGGCGGCGATAAGCGGGGTGGGGTGGAGGTCATGTCATGCCCGTGGCCCGATAGTGTTATATACATGATTATATAAGACCATAATCAACTCTCTAGACTATCGGATGCTCGAGATTGTTTATGCTATCGTAACACCGGTAGCAATGACAATCGAGACTCCAAACAGCCATAATTTCACTCAGAATGAAGTACTTTGACTGAAATTTTCAATATATTCATTTTTCATTATATATTTTTAAACTTACAGCGAGAACTGTCATCTCGTGAGCTAGATCCTACATAATACATATCTATTAAAGTATGTGGAATAAAGTATAGCATAGTATGCTCTATGAACATCAAAATTCCACATACCCAATATATATTATTCTCACCATTTTAAACTGAACTTAAAATCTGTTTTTCAGAATATTTGCCGGAAGTATTCTTCTTTCCTGTGCTCTAAATCTACTTTTACCAGCATGTATCAATGCCGACGAATATTATTTAACTTGTTTAGTTCGATTTCTTCAGGGATTAGTTGAGGTAAGACAATAGTGATCAACACAAATCTTTTACAGTATACTTTTATACAAACTCATCATCTTTGTTCCCTTCTTCATTTCGCAGCAAACAGAAAACCCAACAAACTCAAAAGAGGCAACCCTACTCCTCGGTTGTATTGACAAGGAGTAGGGTTGCCTGTCCAACCTCGTGAGTTTTCTCCGAGTCTTCCGGTTTCCTCCGACTGCTAAAGACCCCTACGCGCAAGCAAATTATTGAAATAAAATTAAACCATATGTTAGTCCCGAAATGACCTAGTTTGTGTCGAGTGGACGTTAAACCCCATTTCTCTCTCTCTCTCTCAAAAGAGGCAATCATATTAGAAACAAGAATGCTTTGAATTTTTACAAAGTATGTCGTTTAATTATCACCAGAATTTAATATACACGGTTAATACAAAAACATAAATATGTTATAATATCATGTATGGAATGTGTAAACGTTAAAAAGTGTTTTTTCTTTTAGGGATCTTTATATCCCGGATGTTATGGAGTGTTAAGGTATTGGTCCACACCTTCAGAACGAGGTCGTGCTGGGTCGACTGTATTGACAGGTAAGATAAAAATGCTTCGTTCGATCACAATAATATGCCTTAACTGAAAGTAGATAGGTCAAAATAAATTGCTGAACACGCTTGATCTGCTTCAAGTACAGTATTAATCGGACAAGTTGGTTCGTTAACCTTTTTCACCAGATATATTATATTTCGCAAAGACATCAACATATTTGATCAAAAACAAAGAAATTAACATATGTAATTAAAGTCAAATCTTCATTATTATTATTAAAGCGTCCTAGTTGTTTTGAAATAAATATAAACAAAAGCTAATAGTCATTTGCATAAAGGGTCTCCTTTTGAGTTACACGTATGTAGTATCAATATGACATAACTAAAACAATGATGAAAGCTTAGAAAAACTAAAATCATTGATTTAAATATAATGTAAATATGAAATGAGTGTTTATTTAGTTATTTAGTTATACATGTTGACACAGGTGGTTGATGATGTGGCGAATATAGAGATTGAAGAAAAATTCTACACGTTTGAAATTTACGTCTTAAAGAGGGTAGAATTTCACACACTATCAACACAAATCCGAAAATATCGGGATGGAAAAGATTATTGCAGCATATTATAACTCTGTAAAAATAACATTTAAACAATATTTTTATTCAGGATGTCTGAATTGGATTGGGGAACAGACTCAGCCTATGTTAAACCTCTCTCCCTGTAAATTGGATAATATGATTGTATAGTTTAGACTATGTTTGTTCATTATAAAAGCTGATCATATAGTTGATAACATCTATAGTTGTGTAGTTTAGATGTAGTTTATTATTAAAGGTGCGTATGCTGGGGCTGTGGTTGGTTTTCCAGTAGCCGGTGTGATAACTCATTATATAGGTTGGCAGTACGTATTTTATCTTAACGGTAAGCACCTTCTTAAAAGAATTTATCACTGTCTGATTAAGTTTAGGCCGATTTTCGAAGATTCTCCGCCGATGCTTTCAATTCCAGCACCATGTTCAAGACACCAAGCCAAACGGGTAAACCTCGACACTGAACTCATAGTCAAGCATCCCCATATGCACCGTTGTAAAAGCTGAAATTTGTAAATGGCATTGATGAAAATTGTTATTTAAAACAAATTGAAAACTGTTACTTATCAGAATATTCCAGTATTGTTTTCTAATTTTCGAAAACAGTTTGAAAATGATTAATCTATTATCAGGTTATCTATATTTATAGGATCTCGACTGTCGAGGAAAGGGAGTCGCGGTGGCTAAGTGGGTAAGACGCTGGCTCGCTAGCCTAGAGGTCGGGTGTTCGATCCCTGCACTGGCCGAGAAAGTTCGTCCACATTTTCCGGCGTGGTTCACCCGGAAAATGTCAGTGATGAAGGACAAAGGTTCTGAAAAGGACAGCTGTCTAGTTGTAAGGTTGGGACGAAAAACCGAGGTCCTGTGTACACATTGGCGTGTACGTAAAATATCCCTTGACAGTTGGAATTCGATAAAGAGTATTGTCGTTGTCTGGGCAAAATTTCCCTCATAGCACACTGTATGCCCGTCTTCATCAGTCCAGATCGGAGCGGAACAGCAGGACGTTAAACCCCATTTCATTTCACATATCTTTAAACTGTGTCATATTATTTGCTCTTAACAGGGTGTGTTGGTATTCTATGGGCATTGATCTGGTTGGTATTAGCGCGTGAAAAACCCTCAGACCACCCTTTTATAAGTGAAAATGAGTTGAAATACATGACCAAAGAGCAGGGATATGATGTTACAGATAGCAAGGTGAGTACCCGTCAGTTGCTATGAAATTGTGGAGGAGACGGTTAGCCACAAGCCACACTATGTAATTGTCTAGACAACTATGTCCTTATACTTACCGACTGAAGTTATAGTGGAATGTTATATATATGATGTTAAAATAAAATCACTTATAAAATTCCCGTCTTCATAAGTCCCGCCGGTGCAGAAAAGTAGGACGTTAAACTCCATTTCATTCGAGCTATAACAGTTAAGAATAAAATTTCATAATGAATTAAGTAACCATATTTTGCTGTCCTTTAGATCAGCGAAGCTAAAGATCATCCATGTTTTCAAATTCTTTGGTACTATGAATATATAGTACCGTTTAATTAATTAACACGATTGATATTCAGTTGACTATTTACGAACCACTCTATATCTTGATTTGGATATTTTGGACAATTTAGAAGGCAATTTTATCCCATTTTGGCGTCTGGAATTTGATACTTCACCTTTGAATAGTAAAAAAAAGATAAATACATTTTGATTATTCATTTTATATTTCAGGAAACAAAAATACCGATAAAAGAAATACTGACGTGTCCAGCAGTATTATGTTTGTGTTTGTGTCATTTTGCACGTAATTGGGTGTTTATATTAATGTTAACAAACGAACCATATTACCTGAGTTTATTTAATTTTACAGTAGCAGAGGTTAGTCCTTTCAATATTCATTTAACCAAACAAAGGGTCTCTTTAAAGGCTATGTTCGACATATCGGAGATTTTTAATCCGTTGGTACAATATTTCGAAAGCTGAATCCCTAACGGAAATTTCAGCCCAGAAAGGGTTCATTTCTGTTCAGTATTTACAAAGATATGACGAATTAAACTGTTAACATCATTCGGTTTCCCCTGTAGCAGATAAAAACAACAGCCATCAAGCCATTTCCAACCATAAGTAGAATATTTTGATGGGCTCTTTTCAGACGGACTGAATCCATGTCTGGGGACTATTTACCGTTGATATTTTGGTTTGGGTTTCTTAAATATTAAATGACCAATCTGGGTACATATTAGCTTGGATTTAGCGGTGTTGAAAATTAAATATTGTCCGAAAATAAATGCATTATTATAACATTATGTCTACCGTATAGAAATAAATTATACAGTGCTCTCTTCACTTGTATATCAGAGAAGGGATATTAAATTTTAATCTCAACATGACCAAACGAAAGCCGTTTAATTTTGATTTGTGGCATGGGAGGAATTCGATCTCCTTCATTAATTCCTTTAAAATAAATTTTATATAATAATAAAAATAGTTGGCATGTTTCATTTGCAATGAAAATTGTTTTTATTTTATTATTGTAGAATGGTTTATATGCTTCCATACCACATATAATGAAAGTACTAACAGCGGCTTCTAGTGGTTATATCGCTGATTATTTACTATTAGATAATCTACTCACTATAACCCATATACGTAAATTACTTACTGGTGTAGGTAAGTCCACTAACTGATTCCGTGGTAAACTTTGGTACCCGATTTGGAAATGATCTGGAGTTTTACATCCTACTTTTCTGCACCGACTGGGCTAATGAAGTCGGTCATATGCCATACAGTGTGCTATGAGGGAAATTTTGCCAGAATTCCTTACTGTCAAGGGTTAACGTACACGCCAATGTGTACACGGGAACTCGCTGTTTCGTCCCATCTAAAAAACTATACATTTCCCCTTGTCGGGCCCCGAGTTCTACACTACTGACAAGAGGGAACCACACCGGAAAATCATGATGAACCCCCTCTGCCAAAACGGGGATCGAACCCGGGACCTCAAGGGTAGCGAGACAAAGTCCACCATGATATTTTTGCAAGTAAGTTGATGGGCCTGTATATATGATATATAATAATGTAATCATATGATAATAAAGATAAACCGGTGTTCTACAGGACTAACTAGGTCAAAAGAACTTTAGCAGGAAATTACATAAAATACGAGAAAACTCGATTCCCGGCAGTGATAAAATAGTCCCATGAGAAGAATCCTGTTCAAATCGGGTACCATATGAAACCGCTACACTGTCTGTATCGGTGGCATAGCTTGAAGGTTGCAAAGAAGTGAAACTCGCTCATAGATTTAAGTAGGCATTATCAACAAGAAAATAAATGTAATTAATCTTAAACATTAAAATTATTTCAAATTCCACTAATTATTGAAATCCGAAGCTCTGGTCTCCTTACTCAGCAAATCATTTTGTACGAGCTCCGCTATAGTGCCCAAAGCGACTCGTTCGAAATCCTAAAACGTATGTATCTCAACCAGGGATTATTTTGAATTTTGCATAAAAACTAACTTGTACGTCCGCGATGCAGCTTACCCGTTAAACATTTGTTTTTCACCGAAACTCAAAAATCACCAAACGGTTAACTAAGAATGTTTTTAGCGACCCATTGGTCCGATTGTCGTCTTTTGGGCCCTTTCACTAGTAATGTACACAAATATATTTTCTTTGAAGGATTTGGCGTGGGATGTATTGGATTTTTTATATTAACATTTGTAAAAGATGGCTCAATAGTATTAATATTTTTGACACTGGCTGTTGGCTTTACCGGTTTCGCTGTATCAGGTAGGCTTGCGTTATTTTACAGTCGTAAAGATGCATTATGCAAGAGCTAAACCCTTCAATTGCAGATCTTTCTTTTGGCCTAAATGTTATATAAACTATTAATTAGACATGTATTCATATGACAGCCAATAATCAACTCTCTAGATCATCGGATCGTTGTGATTTTGAACAGATTGAACCACGACGGCCATTTTATCATCTTAACATCTGTTTCAATGACAATGGAGACTCCGCTCAGAATGAAGTAATTTGACTGAAATGTATAATATATTTCTTTTTTATTATCCATTTTTAAACTATTGTATCGAGAACTGTCAGCTCTATACCTAAATCATACATAATGCATCTTTAAAATAGAATACAAATATGTTTTGTTTTTTTGGTTGATCTCCAAAGTTGTTCTGTTTGCTTTAGATAATAACAGGAGTCCGTGGTAGTCTATCGAGTAGGATAATGGACTTTCGTCTAGAAACTCCCTGGCTCTAGGTCTGCAACTAAAAACTCAATCATTATTGATTATTTTTTAGACTTTAAAAAATAACTTTGAATTGTTTGTACTCAAAATGAAATGTGTGTTTGATTTATAATTATTTGTTCATTTATAGGTTGGCAAATAAACCACTATGATTTGTCAGCTCGACATGCCAGTCTGTTAGTTGCCATAACATCGACAGTGGGTAACATTGGTTCTGTAACGGTGCCACTAGTTACGGGATACATAACATTTTATCATGTAAAGTATTAAAGTTCAATTATAATCTAGTTTACATATTCCAAAAACAAAAGGAAAATGTGTTAAATGCAGCGCAACATTTAAATGTTAGTGCAAATTCAATACTGCGTATTTAATTTCATCGAGCATTACATTGAGCAATTACATTGAATTTGAAATTTTATTCGGGTTCATCCAAATTTAAACCCGATGTATTAAAACCCGTTTTTATGGACTAGTCTGTATGGACCAATCATTGGCTGTCGGCGTGTTTCTTTTATAATTGTCTTTGTGGGGTGTGGTCCTCAAACCCTAAACAGACGAGCAGGTAGTTCTATTGGACCGATAGCTATACAAAAATAGTGAATGACTTCCAAATATGGTATCACGATATATATCTATATACCGATATATCGTACACCGGATATATTGGTTTGTTAAATACTATGCGAATGAAATCGGCCAACCAAAGTAATAAATAAAGGAGCTAAACCTCAAACTCAATATTTTCCTTAATATTCGGAATTAAAAACACGAATTAGAATTCAATATTGGTCCATTTCAATTAATATTGATATTGATATCTTGCCGTTAAATCATTAGACGAGTTGTGTACTCTATGGTTTTAGACGTCTTTTGTAATGAACACAGAAAGACATAACATACAAGACAGTGCGGAAGTACTTAGTAATGTCAGATTGACAAACGACAAAATAAAATCGGTTGTCATGCAAGATACGCCCACATTTTGCAAGATGTGGACAGAGAACATAATAACCAAAAGCGATTTCTCGTACAATTAGGGGCCATAATCCAGGAAGTTACGGTCCTATATGCGCGAATATCGACGGGAACCTAGATCTTAGGGATATAAACACACATTTTAAGTTTCATGAAAAGCATATAAAAAATTGTGACCTCCAGAGGGTTCATAACATTGGTATTACATACTTTCACACTATTTGCGTACAAGGAGCGGCCATTTTGTGGGGCAGTTTTGGTCCTAATTTCACGAAATTAGAGCTAACTTGTTATTAGGATGTAATGGTGATAAATTTAAACGGTTTTTAAAATCGGATAAAATTATGACCTCTACGGGGACCACAAGCTAAAAGCAAAAACGTGATTTATTTTACAATCATTGTCCGATAGGTGTGAATATCGAAAGGAACCGAGATCGTTGTCTTTGAATACAAACTTATATTTCAAGTTTGGTCAAAATCAGTTAAAAATTGTGACCTGGACGGATGTCCTGATGGACAGACAGGGACGACGACAATATACGTACACATGAAAATGTGGGCGTATAAAACGTGTAGAATGGACTAAGCATGTGTAAACGACTGCCGTTCAATTTGGACTGTTAATGTATTTCACCGAACATAACCGTTTAGAATTTAAATAATTATAAATCCCTTTATAATTATGCATTCCATTACATTGATATATGTTTCAAACTCATTTTCCTCTGGTTTAATGTTCCGTATAATAGAGATATACGCTCTTTAACTATTTTTTTTTTTAAATTTATGCATTCTATATTAATTTAATTTCATTCTTTTTTCAATGTTTTCACGGTTAGTTCAATATGTTTCCCTTTTGTACCATATGTAGATAACGTCATTGTCTACAATTACTTGACAGACAACCAATTTCACACGCCTTATCGGTTATGTATTCTATCGTGATATATGTAAACGTTTTTTATTACACAGAAACGCTTACAGTTTAAACAATAATTAACTAGCGCTTGTCATGCAAGGTACGCCCACATTTTGCAAGAAATGGAAAGAGAACAAGCTAAAAAAAAAAAACTTGATTTTTCGTACAGTCAGGGGTCATAATCCAGTAAGTTATGGTCTGAAATTCGCGAATATCAAAAGGAACTACAATCTTTGTGATATAAACATATATTTTAAGTTTCATCAAAATCCAACCTCTAGAGGGTCTATAACCTTCATATTACATACTTTACATTATTTTGCTTACAAGGATCGTCAATTTTTTCGAACAGTTTCGTTTCGATTTTCCCGAAATTCAAATTCAACCTTCATTATAGTGTAACGGTGGTATATTTAAACGTTTTATAAAATCGGATAAACATTGTAGCCTCTAGAGTCCACAAGCTAAAATGTGTTTTTTCGTACAATCAGGGGCCATACTCCAAGACGTTATTGTCTGATTTGCGCGAATATCGAAAGGAACCGATATCTTTGGATTAAAGACATACATTTCAAGTTTCATGAACATCGGATAAAAATTGTGACCTGCTAAAAACGTGATTTTTCGTACAATCAGGGGCCATAATCCACGAAGTTACGATCCGATACATGCCAATATCGAAAGAAACCGAGATCTTTTGGAGATAAACCTATATTTTAAGTTTCGTCAAAATCGGATAAAAATTATGTAGAGTGTTCACAGACAGACGTACTGGGGCGAGGACAATACGTCCACGTAAAAATGAGGGCGTATAAACACTTATCACGTAGTCGACGAAAACTCCACCGGAAAGTTTCTGGGCCAACACAGGGATCGAGCCTGGGATCCCCTGCTTAAGGAACCAGGGTGCCTTTCTCACTGAGCCACCGTGGTACAGCAAGCTTCGCATACCCGATGAACATTTGTAGTAATGTAGATTATTTTTAATTTTATTTCATTTCAGACATTAGAATCATGGAGTATTGTTTTTTATATAACATCGAGTGTGTTGGGAGTAGCAGTGATTACATTCCTAATTTTTGGTTCAGGTACTGTTTTCTATCAAGTGGGGAGCCACGGTGGCTAAGTGGGTAAGACGCTGGCTCTATAGCCTAGAGGTCGATCCTTGCATTAGCCGAAAATGTTCACCGGTATTTTCCGACGTGGTTTCCCCTTGTTGGGAGCCACGGTGGCGAAGTGGGTAAGACGCTGGCTGAGAAAGTTCATCGGGATATTCCGATGTGGTTTGGCCTGATAAGGACGGCTATCTAGCTATCGGGACAAAATCCTGAGGTCTCATGTATACATTGGCGTGAACGTAAACGGTCCCTTGGCAGTTGAAATTCGATATAAGTGTAGGCCATAGTGCCGCTGTCCGGGCAAAATTTCCCTCATAGCAAACTGTATGGCGTATGCTCGTCTTCATTAGCCCAGTCGGAGCAGAATAGTAGGACGTTAAACCCCATTTCATATCATTTCTATCAAGTGAATGAAGAGGGCCATAAACCAGACGGGGGGTTGGGTGGCTGAATGGTTAGCACATGCGCGCTGTATCATAAAGCCTGTCATTGAGTCAACTGGCGTGGTTTCGAATCCCCGGTTGTACGTGACAAGGAGTAGGGTCGCCTGTCCAACCTCGTGGGTTTTCTCCGGGTCCTCCGGTTTCCTCCCACTGCTAAAGACCCCTACGCGCAAGCGAATTATTGAAATAAAATTAAACCATATGTTAGTCCCGAAATGACCTAGTTTGTGTCGAGTGGACGTTAAACCCCATCTCTCTCCCTCTCTCTCTCTCTCTCTCTCTCTTTCAAGGATTATTTTACGTGAGCCACTTTAAAACAACAATATCCATGGTTGATCAGGCTAGATATTAATAGTCATCTAGGTTTCTATGTTGAATTTATTGCATGATATAATGGATTATGTGTTGGGGCTGACAATTATAAGGAATCCTCCGCACATTACTTAAAGCGGCATTTTGGAAGATACGATAAAGCGTTGACCGATCTCGCAATAATAGTTACAAAATAGATAATGTAAAGTGTAAAGGAAATGTGCTGAAAATTTCAATCAAATTACTTCACTCTGAGCCGAGAAATTGTCATTTCATTAACACCGTAGCCACGATTGTCAAAGTTACCGTTGTTACGATGATAAACGTAATGGATTATCCATTTTTACTGTTAATCACCAATTGCCGTTGAACCGCAGATCGGATTCAAATCTGTTTAAAATCGGACCCTTCAGATGGCATCAAGAGTTGATGTGTAGATTTGGCTCTTGCATAATGCGTGTTTAATCTAAGATCTGAGTTTGCAGAAAAGTGACGTTAAACCCTTGGCTTGCTCGACATTAATCATGACAAACTATTTTAATTTCGCCAAATTATTTTCAGGTCAACAACAATCCTGGTCAAATCCACCAGACAAGGTGCTGCTCGTTCAACAATTAGATCCCTTGGAGGCCCCACCATACAAAGCAGAACGATTACAGGACTCTATTAAACCAACTTCATAGACTTGTTCGGTGTCGGTAATAAATGGGCAATTATGACATAGTCTCGATCGAGACTTAATTACGACATTAATAAAACGTTGTTGTTACCCTAAACAGCACACACAATACCAAGTTTACAGACAAATCTCAGGTATAAAGCGTTTTGTTAAGGTACAAACTTTTCAAACTGTTTCTTCTATTTCACGCTAAGGACTTTTGCGCGGATTTTGCTATTCCAGTCTTGGTTATGTTGAAAAACGGAAGTTTAGATATTTCTGTTTAAAAACAGCATGTCTCCCACCCTTAACATACTATTAAAAATTTAGGTATCGCATTCTATAAAGAAATACTTGTTTGTCGTTACATATAATTATTAATCGAAGTGCCTGTGAATTGAATACGGTATACTGAGTAACATCTGGCATGTCACAGAATTGGTCGATTTCGCTATCTGGCCGTTAAATTAGATCAAGTGTATAGCTGTAATTCTGTAAATCTGTTATCTATTAAAATGTTACAGAAAATAAAATTATAAAACGTTTTAATAGTCTAAATTAAATTATATCAACATTTCGTTTCGTTTTACTTTTGGGCTGTTTGTAATTAGATTGAGTTTTAAAATGAAACTAGTGGGCATGTTGATCGTGAATTCTTCGTGTTATTTAAAAATGGACAGTGATATAAATACGTCAGTGGACAGATGTAGATTGAAATTGGTTGTGATATTTTCAAAATAATAAAATGTGATAATTTTGATGTGATAATATACCTATGTATAATTAATATGTGTGTTGTATCAAACATTGATGCCCATCTGTCAAAAATCTATTTGATGTATATAGCTATAACTTATTTGAATTGAAAGGTTCACATATTATACAGTATAATAATTGAACTCACAACAAACATAGCTATGGTGGACTATAAACCAATATATTAAATTACTATTTGTAATAGGTGACTAATGATACGGAAACACAATTGATCAGAATTACCATCAGCTACACGTTCTATGGTAACGTGGCGTTTCCGGATAGTAATTTTCCCTTCAGCCCGGCTTCTGCTTGGAAGAAGGCTAAAGGGGGAAAACAGGCTTACGCTAGGAGCCAGGTTCAGTCACCTTGTTGCCTCGATATTCATCTCACAATTTCTCTTTTAAAGATGCATTATGTAAGATTTAGATAAAGAGCTAGGCGTTCTTGTTTTAATAGTTCTAAAATAGATCATTCAAAATTAATATATTGAAAATTTCAGTCAAATTACTTTATTCTGAGCGACATTATTTTGGACTTTTGACATAGATTGTTTATTATTATAGCAACGTTATTTATAAATCGAGACTCAGCCTCGCTTCGCCATTTTAAAATTAAATCATTAAATTGCGATCGTATTTTATTCCTTTTAAATCTGCGTCACCCGATGATCTAGAGAATTGAATATAGGTTTCGTCATGTGAATAAATGTCTAAATAATAATTTGAAGCCAAAATAAAAAACCTGTAATAGACAGATTTAGCTCTTACATAATGTATCTTTAATGCCACTCCAACTGAAATGAACTATACATCTCTGAAGCGCTTCATTGATGTCCCGTTGTATGATCTATAACATTGCTTGGCTTAATGGATCAAAACATCGATCATTAATTAGATAATCATCGTGGTATTTACTGTATATTTATAAAATGGATTGTTATTTTGTTGAATCATAATAAAGATGGCGGTATATGTTACTGTTATGAAAACCACTGTTTAAAATATTTATGACTAACCCTTTTTCATTTGGGTAAAATAAGAAAAGCCGGTTTGAGTAAGCGAAGTGTGTTGATAATCTTGTTGAAGTGAATATCTGTCGAAATTGAAGGGTTTAGTTCCACGGATAGGGCTAATGCTGAGATACAGCTGATTTTGTGTTCCACTGTCGATATAAGCCAAAGATGAAACTAAAATTAATAAACAAAACACTTTAAACGCTTAGATGTTGTCCTACCAGTTACTGGAATAACACATCAGATCAACTGAATTCAAAAAGATGTCGGGAAAGTCTTTATTCGAATTTGCCTTAAGTGACCGTCTCATTCCCTAGCCATTACATGTATGGCTGTTGTGGTGGTTGACCGCACAATTATAAGACACTGCTTTTGTCATTCTTTTTTGCATTTGCTTGATAAAGACTTGAGTATTATCATACAGTCTATTCTGGTCTGGCTTGCTTCGCTTCGCGGTGAAACTATATATAGAGTGGGAGCCTGGGGGTGGGGGTGGGTCAGTCTAGCTGAAAAGTGTACCAATTTTCTCCTATATGGTATCAATGCCTTCATATCAAGTATCATCAAAATGTAAGTCTGCCGGGTATCTATTGGTGGGTGTGGTATCCACGCCCAGAATGCCACACCCAAACTAGGCTAGATTAGCTGATGTTCACACCACCTTAAACTACTAGGAAATTGTTCAGCACCAGACAGTTTGTGTGGTGGGGTACCCCTGACAAACACGCCCAAAATGACCGCCCCCACCCCTACCCAACTAGGCTACATTAGCTGAAGTCCGCACCACCTAAAATGATTATAAATTGTTCAGCACCACCACAGAGATCATGAATAACCACTGCCAGATAGTTTTTGCGGTGGGGTATCCCTGACAGACACGTCCTCTGCTATTTTATTTTCTTGAGCCACCCAATATATGGCATGGATTGAAATCCGTCCCCGAAAAGCAACCCCCCCCCCCCTCCGCACTCTTTTTTATAGATTGAGATTTACCAAACTTCCGCTGCTATTTCCTTGTTTGAGCCACCCTATATTTGGCATGGAACGAAAGAGTGTTTATCCCTCTTTCATTTGGCACCATAGATTATTCTAGAAACCTGAAATCCGTTCCAGGAAAGCAGTATTAATCGATGTACGATTTAACAAGTCGACTAATGGTGCAAATGCATCACGCACCCAAATTGAAAATAAAATATGTTAAAAAAAAAAAACACCGTTGTCTCTATCTTTATCGAAATGCGGTCGGGCTTGAGGCGGTAACCATGGACATGCGACACAAACTAGGTCATTTTGGGACTAACACATCGTTCAGTTTTATTTCAATAATTCACTACGCGTATGGGTATTTAGCAGTGAGTGGGGAGGGGGCGGTGGACCCAAAGAAACCCCACGAGGTTGTCAGGCGACCCTACTCCTTGTCCGGTACTTTAGTGAGGATGAAGTAAATCTGGCTTTCCTTGAAGATATTTTGTCATTGCACATGTACTAATTGCCCCTCCTCCCACCCCTTAGATTGTTGTTTAGCACGCGGATTGGTGTATGCAGATTGGCGCCTCAGATGAGCGGATGCAGGCAAGGCAGCGGTGGGCTGTTCGAGCGATTTGCCTTAAAAGAAGAGTAAAGGTTTTCTACTTGACGTTTTCTTGGGCGCGGTGGCGGGCTGCGGGCCCGTCGGCTCTCACTTCGGGAGATATCAGCTGAACAGTCCAGTTCAGTTTCATTTTATTAATCCTCGGTATCCCCAGTGGTCTCATTCCGTTCTACTCCACTAACCCTGGGTTAATCTATTGGGTGACACGCTTTCAACTTGATGATTGTGCTATTTTTATCGACCAATCCCATAAATCGTTAATTGAAAAAGAAGTTGACAAAGGGAAGTAACTCTCATCGGGTAAAGTGAGCAAAATGCAAAGGCTCCGCTTCAAGAGTCAAGGTTAGGAAACGGACAGAAGGTAGGCTAAATGAGAGAAGCCAAAATTATACTAAATGCGTATCTATTAGGAAACAAGACCGGGCAGGTATTTAAAATTTGTAGAATTGGCGGGATTTATTTTGGTGGTTCGGTAGTGTTAGAGATCAACAACTGTCAAAAACTAAGCTAAAGAAATTGGTCAAGCAGAAGGATTAAGTTGTAAAAGACAGTAATTTAGGCTACTGGTTGTCTATACGTTTGCACACAACAAATATTCGGTACTATTTCTTCGTAGATTTAAGCCGACGCCTTCTCTAAAAGCCAATGTATCTAAATCAAATTACTTATATCTAATTATCTTAAAGGCTCAATACCACTCTTGTTGTAACTGAATAATATGTCCCAATCTTTATTCTGGTCAACAAATTGTACTATTTTACAATATTCCAATTAATTGATGATACAAATTTCATCTTAACACACCTAATTTAAAAAATTGGAAAAATTCAACTAAATGATTTGAAAAGCCTGACGTAAAGCTTTTTAAACGTGACTTGGATTTAAAAATATTTTTGAACCATCTGGACAAGGAAAATAGGATTTAATGGATAATTTACACAACAGGTAGGAAATTAACACATCTAGTACTTAGAATAAGGCTATTTTTTTTATTTTCTGGAGCTGTCCAGCCAGCTAGAGTGTTATTGTCCCTTTAAGGCCCATCCGCAGTCATTTTAGATTCCAATAGTTTATATTGGATAATCAATTATCATTTCTATTAATGAACCTATTATTGCTGAAGTATCATTTTTCTAATGAACAATTTATAAACTTTTGGGTTTAAACTCATTATTAGCTTCGATTTTATATAAATTGATTGTTTAGTTGTTTTTTTTAATGTATTGTGGTTAAAAGTGAGAAAACACTTCCATTTGATCGTGCACTTGGGGAAATCCTACCCTCCCCCTTCCTAATAGGGTTGGGTAGCCGGCTCTCAATATTGACCACAATGTCACCAGATCCAATATTAAATACGAAATAAATTGGCATATAAGGAGTTAAACGGCAACCTGTTTTACCGTTCATTAAATTTATAACCTTTCAGGCAGTAATAATATTGAAATGGGTGCATATATACATCTTTGTTTCAAATACCAGACAACAGATATTGTCAGAAAAGTCTAAAAAATAGAAAGTTTAATGGGTTTTATTTTCGATAAACATTCACATCTATATTATTGTCAGCTGTCTTGGGTAACTTAACACGCTATAAGGATGTAGAATCGGGCCAAAATTAAAAATTTTTCCATTTTCTTAATTAGAGTCCTAAAACTTTAAGGGATTCTAAATGAGGCGAGATGTGGTCTTTCCATATTTCAAATTAGACTAATTATTATACATTTTGGAAACATTACTTATGCGCCCATAATTTCACTAAGTGGGTAAGACGCTGGCTCGCTAGTCTGGAGGTCGGGTGTTCGATCCAGATTTTCACGCTTGGTTCCCCCTTGACAGTGGTGCAGAATGGAGGGCCTGACAAGGAAAGCTGTCTAGTCCTTCGGATGAGACGAAAAACCGAGGTCCCGTGTATACATTGGAATGCACGTAAAAGATCCCTTGGCAGTTGGAATTCGATATAAGAATAGGCGATAGTGCCGCTGCCCGGGCAAAATTTCCCTCATAGCACACTGTATGGTGTATGCCCGTCTTCATTAGCCCAGTATAGGAGCAGAACAGTAGGATATTAAACCCCATTAAATTTCATTTCATTTCGTAGCCCTAACAGCCAACTCAGCTTGTTTGATTTGTAGTTCTGCTGTATCCTAATTAGTAGCCTAAGACTAATTCACTATAGGACAAATTTGCTAGACTTTTGATACCGTGACACCATTCTCAATGCACACACACACCCCTGATAACAATTTTTGGATAGTTGTGTTTCAAACGACAAAATTATGCTAATATATAGCTGCCGCCACACAAATTCAGATTCGACGGTTAGCTATGGTCTGATTCCAAGGCAACCCAATTTTGTTAGCTCCCATAGCAAACTCTTTATAATGAAAACACGTTTAGCCCTAGTGGGTCACATGATATAAAAATGGAGTTGTCGAAAAACAAAAACACACACAGGTGAATCGATAATTTTAAAGATCTTATATGTCTCATTCTTTTTTAAATGACACTTTTTATTGACCCTTAAATTTGTATCCCCCAAAAAACTGTCTTTAGGCTACCTTGGTATCTGAGACCTATTTTGATTGACGTTCTATCTTTCGGAGCTCAGTTACATCGTATTATATTTATATTATAGCCACACAACCTTCGAATTTTAAATGATAATTTTATTTACATTATTACCATTAGAATTAACTGCATTAGCTGAGAGAGTTCTGGTAAGCTTAAAATCATTGAAACAATTGGTGGGCAGTTTCTAATATTGCAACAATACAGATTTTTGAGATTGGGAATCAGATAAAATTCTACTTACCTGATTGCATTCACAAGCCACAGTTAATTAAGGAGATATTTTAATGATTAAAAATTTTAAAATATTCTACCAATTGCAAGCAATAATAAAACGTCTCATAGTTCAAAGATAAATTTGTCAGTGGGCTGTATCATCCTTACATGTTTAGAATTTGCTTGCAGATTTTAAATCTAGGGGATTTTTCTGGATAAGCAAAATCCTTTATTAGGGCAAAAGAATGTCCAACTAATGGAACCCAGTCAATTTGAATGAATGCCTCTCTTGTCAGAACTAGCAGTATAACTCACTATAAGAACAAGCCCCTGGTCAATATGATCAAAAATTTGGTACACAAAGTTTATGCACTTCATATAAAGTCTTGTGAAAGCTTTAGTAATGTGTATCAGTAGAATGGTTTTGCCCTTTTTTTTCCTAACGAATCTCAATGTGGTGGCACCCTTTATTAACTGTTTGAAAAATGTAAACCTGCTTTTGGGATCATTTTTTTTGTCTATGAATTATAAACCTATCTTTTCGTGCTTTACAGTGTAATTCACAGGACTAGATGATCCGAAAATGTTAATTTTGAGAAAATAA